TACATTTTTAAAATGTATATTCATGATTGTAAAGTTCTATAGCCCAACAATAAGAAAAAAATTAGCCTGTTAAACATTTTAACTGAGATAAAACACACACACACACACACACACACACACACAGCTCTCTTCAAGTCTGGTTTCTGATAATCATAAATGTCTTTGCTAGCATTCCTAGGTTTTTTTCTTAATATTTTCCCTTTGGTAAACTTCTATTTACAATATCTTTGAATTTACATTTAATTTTTTTTAACATTTGGAGAAGATGATTGAAGTCTGGATTTACATCTTTTATATGCAAGTCTTTGAGCTTGCTGCACACAAAAGGAAATTCCCATGATAATACCACGTAGCTATGTCCGTTCTGGGAATGTAACACACACATGCATAGACACATAAACACAATGAGATGGCCGCCAGCTGGTTTTCTATTCAGCTGCCATCTATAATTAGGTCTGGGCTATTATACATTCTGGCTTTTGATTATTGAAAGCAACAACAAACAGTTTTGGACTTTAACTACTAAGACACAGCTAAGGTTTGGGCTTTTCTTAATGAGGGAAATGAGTTCGTAATTCTCTTGCCAACAGTTAATCTTGGATTTTCTCCTCCTAGGCTTCCAAGAACAAAACACTTGTTAAATGTCATCAATGAAAACTTTGGCACCCTTGCCTTCTGCCGCAGATGGCTGGATCGCTTGGGAGAAAGTAAATACTTGATGGCTCTGAAGAATCTGTGTGACTTGGGCATTGTAGATCCATATCCACCATTATGTGACATTAAAGGATCGTATACAGCTCAATTTGAACATACCATACTGTTGCGTCCAACATGCAAAGAAGTTGTCAGCAGAGGAGATGACTATTAAACTTAGTCCAAAGCCACCTCAACACCTTTATTTTCTAAGCTTTGTTGGAAAACATTATACCAGAATTAATTTGCAACATATCTGTTTTAACAGTGGACCCATGTAATACTTTTATCCATGTTTAAAAAAAAGAAGGAATTTGATCAAAGGCAAACCGTCTAATGTAATTAACCAAGGAAAAAGCTTTCAGGACTTTTAAATGTTGACTTTTCCCCTTCCTGTCTAGGAAAATGCTATAAAGCTCAAATTAGTTAGGAATGACTTATACGTTCTGTTTTGAACACCTAAGAGATACTTTTTGAATATTTATATTGCCATATTCTTACTTGAATGCTTTGAATGACTACATCCAGTTCTGCACCCATACCCTCTGGTGTTGCTTTTTAACCTTCCTGGAATCCATTTTCTAAAAAATAAAGACATTTTCAGATCGGAGAGCTACATCTCAATGTCTGTGGTTATAATTCTGGACAGGATAAATAGCTAAACTTAATGCAGAGAAATGCAGAGTGATTAATCGGAAATGTAGGCCTCTACACTGAGACTCTTCTGGCATAGTGGCTAAAACAAGATCTTCACGTGCATAAGAGGGACAATCATCTTTTCTTCATAAATATACAGCTTTAGGAATATTTTGCCATTTTCTATAGGACGGATTAGTCTTTGTCTTTTTTTCCCCTGACATTGGAAAGACATACTAACTGAAACATGACTTAGTAGGAACATTTCCAACTCGAAACCTTGATTTAGTAAAAATCTCAATGTTTAGATCCTTTGTCCAGTGGCAGTATTTATCAGGGAATGTACTCAGCTTGCTCAGAAAACCAAAAGGGCATTAAAGCCATGAAAGCAAAGAAGAAAAAAAGTTTCCCATGTTCCGATCTTGTTCTGGTTAGAAAAATTAAATTGAAATTACTGGGGTTTTTCATTCATCAGGCAAATGCTATAGTACCTTGCCCTTTGACAGGTTTGTATTCTTAACATTACTAATGGTATTTCAGGAAGTGAGGTTACAGTTACTTTCCTTTTAGCGGCTAAGTGTATTAAGTTGAATGTAACGATGATAATATTAACTTGTTTGAACTGAGGCCCGCTACTGATTCTTTAAGAAATTGCTTGAATTCTTATATGTAAATAATTTTATGGGAATGTTCCATCATAATTTCTAAATTGTTTATATACCAAGGTAGCCTTAATTTGTGTATGTTTCAGTACAATGAGATTTTATTGCCTCCGGGATGCTGTTTAGTTTGTATTTTGTTGAACGTTTTTATCATAGGAAGAGAAACCTATGACTTCTGTATCTAGATCATTTGTTACATTAAAAAGCTGCTCTTTCAGCATTAGAGCTATAAATGAATGTTATCTTGTGGGGAAACAATCTAGTTTTTAGTTGTATGAGCTGTTTATTATGGTGCTAATGTTCAATAGCCACATTTTACTAATTTCTCCATTTTCTGTGATGCTGTGGCTAGCAACAGAGCTCTCCAGTTCATGCCTGGATATACTGTCAGGGCTGGGCCCTCCAGCTAGCTCCTTTGGGGTTGAGTCCATATCTTTTTGATGTGGAAGTATATAGAGTAAGTATCTTGATTTCTAAACCCAGGAATTTTAGAATTGGCCTTTATGAGTGAAGAGACTTTTGGAGCTTTTACAGATCTTGGCAGTCGTGATCTCAAACCAATTATGAGCTCCAAGCTCCCTTCCCAGGTAACTGCTGGGAGCAATGGCATCACTGTATGCCCTTGTAATGGCTGGAAGGGACATGATCTTGTAAGTAGGAAAGCTGTCACTTAAAATTGTATTGTTTGCATATTAGTCATGTATCTCTTAAAATTTTGTTATGTTTACAATGATGTACCTTATTGGCAACAAATTATTAGTTTGATGTTTAACAATAGTGCCTTTAGTAAATTATTTTACAACCAAAACATGTTGTTTTTTGTTAGATCAACTTAGCAGAATGTAGACATCCATGTTGAGCTTTAAGATACATAGTAAGAAATCTAAGTTTCTGTTTATTGTTTAGGTTTTAATTTTGTCTTTGGTATTTTGAGATGTTTTTAGAGCCAGTTTAGGTTCATACTAAAATTGAATGGAAAGTACTACAGATTTCCCATATGCCCCAATAACATCTCCCTCCTTCAGGCCTCCCCCAACAGGTGTTAGTTTTAATGGATTACAAAGTAAAGGGCTAAGTCACTTTCTCATATATTTTTGTATTGAAATAAGTACAAGCAACTATACCATTACAAATAACATAGTTGATGAGTTTTTTAGAATTCCATTAAAATTACATGCTAAAATGTAAAAATGACATTTTTTAAATAGTCCTTGAAATTAGAAAAGGCTAGACTCTGGTAACTTGACCACATAAATTTTTAATGAGGTATTAAGTGTGTAACAGTTGAGGTAACAATTTGTATAGGTATTATGAACAATTTTGAACATAGCCAATCATTTTTGGCACAAATGATTTGTTTAGTGTTAAAGTCTGATTGCACTTCACTATCAGCTAACAACTTATTTTGTGAAACTTAAGAAAAATTTACTGGTAGAGATTTCTTTCAAGTCTGTACTTAAAGATGAACCTAGTGGTGAACAGCATTCTACAGGATATTATCTTTCACTAAGACTTCAACCTGCAAATAAACCCACTTTAAAAAAAGGATAGGCCTGGCGCAGTGGCTCATGCCTGTAATCCCAGCACTTTGGGAGGCTGGGGCAGGCAAATCATGAAGTCAGGATTTCCAGACCAGTCTAGCCAACATAGTGAAACCCCGCCTCTACTAAAAATACAAAAAATTAGCCTGGCATGGTGGCGGGTGCCTTGTAATCCCACTTACTCAGGAGGCTGAGGCAAGAGAATCGCTTGAGCCCAGGAAGCAGAGGTTCCAGCGAGCTGAGTTCGTGCCACTGTGCGACAGCGGGATTCCATCTCAAAAAAAAAATAAATAAATGATCTTCCTGTGGTTATCGCTGAGCTTAGATATTATATAGCTGGTCTACAGAGATTAGTTAATTCTACCCTCTCCCAATAAGATAAGTTAGCAGCAACAGGACTTGAAAGAGTGACTCACACTGTTGTTTTTTTTTTTAATGCAAGTTTAAATAGCTTTTAATTTTTTTTTTTAATTCTCAGGGCCAGTGTTGAAGAGGCTCCTACCTAGTAGACACATAATCCTAACAAGAGTAAGTAATCAAGCTTTAGTTATTTAGGAGAATGAGATGCTAGACATATAGTCCAGTAGCCAATTTTCAACAGGTACCTTTTCTGCCCTATAATTATTTCTCTTTAAGACTCTTATTCCTTTGAACTAAAAAATATATATGAAGTTTTAATGTCATTAGACATTACAAAATGAACTCATGCCCAAGGTAAACTATTTGAATAACATCATACACTGGTTTGCTGAATTCAGACATTTTATGATTGCTTTATTAGACTACTGGACAACTGTTTGCTGCCAGACAAAAATAATAAATCCCAGCCATCATTTTTTCATGTCCATAGTTCCAAAGTTCACTTAAATATACTATTTATAAAGCTGCCATTTTTATGTATAGTTTGACTATGCCAAGTAAAGAGCAATTACTAAAACAATTATTATGGGGTTACATTAACCAAAATCATGTCTATTACAAGGCCTGTTAACACACAAAGCCTCAGAAATACCAGTGAGTGTGACTGATGAATATTTAGGTGATACCTTGATATGTCACTTCAGTAACTCCAAGGGGCAAGGTAATTTCAGTATACAAATGGCCTGAAAGAAAGACTATTAGTGACCAAAGTAGAGTCTAATTTTTCCATCTATTAAGAATTTGTAAAAAGCCGGGTGCGGTGGCTCACGCCTGTAATCCCAGCACTTTGGGAGGCCGAGGCGGGTGGATCACGAGGTCAAGAGATCGAGACCATCCTGGTCAACACGGTGAAACCCCGTCTCTACTAAAACTACAAAAAATTAGCTGGGCATGGTGGCGCGTGCCTGTAATCCCAGCTACTCAGGAGGTTGAGGCAGGAGAATTGCCTGAACCCAGGAGGCGGAGGTTGCGGTGAGCTGAGATCGCACCATTGCACTCCAGCCTGGGTAACGAGCGAAACTCTGTCTCAAAAAAAAAAAAAAAAGAATTTGTATACAAAATAGCTGAAAAAGATAATAAGTATATATAAAATGATGCCACCTGAACTTTGTTGGTAGAAGACTGCACAAATTCATGATCTGAGCCCGTTAAGACATAAAAATATAAAAGAGGTAACAGTCTGAGGTAAACACCAAAAGTTTAAAACTCCAGATTTTAAACAGTGTATACACAACAGTGTATATACAACAGTATATATACAACTCCAGTGTATATACAACTGTCTATACCTTAAGTTGATATACACATATTTGTACTTTGGGGGAATAAAAGGTTTTGTTGTAGTTAGATACAAAATATATAAATGTAGTGTGCACTGATTCATAAGAAAAAAATGAAGCTTAAAATGGTACATCAGCCCTTTTTAAAAGAATATATATAAATCACAGGAAGAAAGTCCCATTGTCTTTGGATCAGCTAAGGATTTCATTAGAAGAGGTATCAGCTTCTTCATTGGGATGTTGGCTCCCAGACAGGAGCTCTGGAGGCAAAAGTTTAGAATGTCCATTTTCAGTAACTCGTTGGGTATAAAACAAGATATAAGCTTGGGCCTTGCATACTTCATCCATAGTGCACATGCTTAGCTTGGAATCATTGCAGTGTACCCAGAACCCTAGAGCAAAGCACAGAAATATGTTTATATAAGGACTTTAGGAAATTCTAGTATGAAAGGCATTAAGTTTGAGTGAAAATTAAATTTTTTCTGAAGGGAAAATAATTTTCTAGCCAATTTTTCTTTTATTTAATGAGAAATATAAATTGGGCAGTACCCTGGAATTATCTACCTTTATTTTAGAAGTAGCTTGAAGTTTACAGTAAGCATCTGACTGATTAGAGTACCTGACACTATTCCTTGTATAAACCTACCAGTTAATGCTTTTGCCACTAATCATACAGGCTGATCATCCCCAATTCCAAAATCTGGCCGGGCATGGTGGCTCACACCTGTAATCCCAGCACTTTGGGAGGCTGAGATGGGCAGATCACCTGAGGTCAGGAGTTGGAGACCAGCCTGGCCAACATGGTGAAACCGTGTCTCTACTAAAAATACAAAAATTCAGGTGTAGTAGTGCGCATGTGCAATCCCAACTACTCGGGAAGCGGAGGTTGCGGTTAGCCAAGATCATGCTGCTGCACTCCAGCCTGGGTGACAGAGTAAGACTCTGTCTCAAAAAAAAAAAAAAAAAAGCAAATAGTATACAACTAACTTGGCAGTTGTTTAGTGTTGAGTTGCCTTGGTGGATTAGCTGGGCTTCTTATCCTCACTTCTCTTTCTGTTTGGGGTGTGTGGGGTTGAAGATGGGAGATGGCGTTTCATACTTTGTTCGACAGTATCAAAAGGGGAAGAAAGGCTGGGCATGGTGGCTCACGCCTATAATCCCAGCACTTCGAGGTGGGCATATCAGGAGGTCAGGAGATCAAGATCCACCTGGTTATCACAATGAAACCCCATCTCTACTAAAAATACAAAAAATTAGCTGGGCGTTGTGGCACGAGGGTGTAGTCCCAGCTACTCAGGAGGATAAGGAAGGAGAATCACTTGAACCCAGGAGGCGGAGGTTGCAGTGAATCGAGATCACACCACTGCACTCCAGCCTGGTGACAGAAGAAGGTTGAGGAGGGCAGGGAAAAAAAAAAAAAAATGAAATCTCAATCTAATCACTTTTGCTAGAACTACACTAGAAGGCAGAAAATAAAAGTGAGTTTTGTATGTTAAACTTGAACACAGTGTTTGCTCCAACTATCTGTGATCCCCCAGTTCTATTTCTTTAAAAAAAATTAACTGAGGTAAGCCAGTAAACATAGGATCTGCTTTTCAAAGTGTGTCTTTAACACTCACTTTTAGTTAGCAACAAGACTATTCCCATTACTGTGTCCCTCCAGCCCTTAGTCAAAAGTACTGCAGAACCAGAAAATACTTGATACATAAACTCTGATTTTTTTAATACCTCCAGAGGTATTCTCCTCTGTAGTCAATTTAGAAATCATTAAAGGCTGAACTCCAGCTTCCAAGTCCAACCCAAGATAAAATACTTTTTCTTATCTATACCTCCTTCAGAATTATAGCAGTAGGCAGTGTAGTGCCCTGAGCCAAATCCTTTCCCATGGTGCATCACCACTGCAGATAAGTCATAGATAAAGCATTCCGGTCTGAGGGATTTCAGGGTCTCCCTGCAGCAATAGGGCTCCATGTTTAAGATTTCCTCAAAGACAACATGAACACCAATCTTCTCTCTGTTATTGCGTCCTGACCACCTGTGAACAAACCGGAGTCAAATTATCAACACAATTAAGGGAAAATAGCCATGTACTAGGTCTAGACAGTTGTAACACATGACCCCAGGCAATGTGGAATACAAATTGTATATAAAATTCTTTCAGTGCTGAAGTTGGCTATACATGGAGGAATTTTGGCTTATTTTGCTTTCATGTCTTTAGATAATAGTAGGAAAAAAATACTAACTTTTGGAAAAGTATTGCCTTATGGGGGCATTTACCCCCTAACAAAAGTCAAGGCCATGAAAGGGTTGGGTTTTGTTTTGTTTTGAGACAGAGTCTTGCTCTGTTACCCAGGCTGGAGTGCACTGGTGAAATCTTGGCTTACTGCAACCTCTGCCTCTCAGGTTCAAGCCATCCTTCTACCTCAGCCTCCCAAGTAGCTGGGACTACAGGTGTGTGCCACCACACCCAGCTAATTTTTGTATTTTTAATAGAGAGGGCTTCACCATGTTGGCCAGGCTGGTCTTGAACTTCTGACCTCAACTGATCCGCCTACCTTGGCCTTCCGAAGTGTTGAGATTACAGTTGTGAGCCACTGTGCCCAGCCCACTAGAGGGTTTTTAATTCCTTATTGTCTTGCCATGGTATGAAGAGGGTTATCCCAGATGGGAGACAGTCTGGATCCTTCTTGGCCAGGTATGGAGGAAAACAAAACAGGGCACTTCTTCTAATTCCTCAGAACACTTCAGAGATTTTCAGACTTAAAAAATAGGAACTGTGTCCCCTTGCTGTGTGTACATCAGCACAACCGCCCATTAGTGACAGAACTCAAAGAATGCCCTTATCCTGTCATTTTCTCAGTCTGTTGGTCATATTTCCCATGACTGGATCTCAGCATGGCCAGCCGTATGTTTATCAATATGCATAATGAGTTGGTGCTATGAGGGGTAAATACTGTAACATGGTAGTTTAAGAGATTATAGTCCAGTTTGGGGTAGTATGGTACAGAGACAAGGTAGACAGATTAAAATACAGTAGTAAAGTACTAAAACATGAGCTTCAGACAAATAACAGCAGGTAGAGAAGGGAGAGACAGGAACATAATTTTATAATGGAAAAAAATAAATGTGAAAATGCTTGGTACAGTGTAAAATGATATGGAACTAAAGATGAACCATGCAAATTATGTTATCTGCTGGACTGTAAGTCATATTCCAATCTCTCTGTGTAGTTGTGAAATACATATTTGGTCTTCCAGTTTCCCTGGAGTGATAAGAGTGTCTTTTGTATGCTAATGAGACGACTGGTAGCTGGCAACCCCTAGATAGCTTCAGGATGTGGGCTAGACCTGGGAATGACTAGAGAGGGTTGGTACTTTCAGCTTCCTCCCCTATACTGCCCTCCACCCCCAGAGGGAATGGGGGAGGGTGGGGGGGTGAATGATGTAATCAATCATGCCTGTGTACTGAAGCCTCCATAAAAACCCAAAAGGTTTTTATGGAGCTTCCAGATAGCTAAACATGTTGAGGTTTCTGGAGGGTGGCACCCCCCAGGGAGAATGTGGAACTTATACACCCCTTCCCAGAAGCCATGCCCTACACATCTCTTCCACGTGGCTGTTCATATGTATCCTTGAAACTCTCCTTTGTAATCAATGTGTAAACACAAGGTTTTCCCGAGTTCCGTGGGTCCCTCAAGCAAATTAATCAGACCAGGGGAGTGGCTAGTGGGAATCCCATTAAATTTACAGCCAACAGGGTGGTCAGAACTTCCACAAACCTGGAGTTATCACTGGTGTCTGAAGTGGGGATCAGTCTTGTGGGATTGAGCTCTCGATGTGTAGGATTGGATGCTACCTCCAGGTAGACAGTGTCAGAACTGAATTGGAGGACACCCAGCTGGTGTCCACTGCAGAAGTGACTGCTTGGTGGGGAGAAATCTCCTACACATTTTGGTAAGCAGAAGCCACATTTGTATTCTCTGTTGTAAGAGTATGGTAGGAGAAACTGAGTTTGGTTTTTCCAGTATCTCTCAGCCAGGTGCAGTGGCTCATGCCTATAATCCCAGCACACTGGGAGGCTGAGGCAGGCAGATTGCCTGAGCTCAGGAGTTTCCAGATTAGCCTGGGCAACATGGCAAAACCCTGTCTCTACCCAAAAAAAGGAAATACAATAAAATGATGAAGAACAACAAGATAATACTACACCCAAAATTCATAATGGTTTGCTTCTGAGGAGAGGGGAAAGGAGTAAGACTGACAGGCACACAGGGGACATCTAAGGCATTAGAAATGTTTTACCAGGTGCAGTGACTTACACCTGTAATCTCAGCACTTTTTTTTTCTTTTCCTTTTCTTCTGTTTTTTTGAGACAGAGCCTCGCTCTGTCACTCAGGCGGGAATATAATGGCATGATCTTGGCTCACTTGCAACCTCTGCCTCCCAGGTTCAAGCGAATCTCCTGCCTCAGCCTCCCAAGTAGCTGGGATTACAGGCACGTGCCACCATGCATGGTTAATTCTCGTATTTTCATTTTTATGTTTGTTTTTTATTTATTTATTTTTGAGATGGAGTTTCACTCTGTTGCCCAGGCTGGAGTGCTATGGTGAGATCTCTGCTCACTGCAACCTCCAACCCCTGGATTCAAGCAATTTTCCTGCCTCAGCCTCCCGAATAGCTAGGATTACAAATATGCACCACCATCCTCAGCTACATTTTAGTATTTTTAGTAGAGACGGTGTTTCACCATGTTGGCCAGGCTGGTCTCAAACTCCTGACCTCAGGTGATCTGCCCGCCTTGGCCTCCCAAAGTGCTAGGATTATAGGCATGAGCTACTGCACCCGGCCAGCACTTTGGGAGGCCAAGGTGGGTGGACTGCTTGAGCATAGGAGTTTGAGACCAGCCTGGGCAACATGGTGAAACCCCATCTCCACCCTGGGTAACAGAGTGAGACTCCATCTCTAAATAAATAAATAAGTAAATATAAGTCATTTACTAGCCAAGCATATGGTACTAAAAGTTAATTCATTTGCCAGAAAGGTGATTAAAGTAGGAGGAGCATTCTTTAAGTTTTGAAGCATAAGCACAAGGAATAATCACTTTGCAACTGGTGTTAATACAGACCTGAATCGTTTGAGGTGCAGCCTGAGAACCTGAGGTAGGCGGCATATCATCAGTTGTTTCTGGGCTTCTGTGAGTACAACTGGTTTGGAGGAAAACCTTCTACGCTTTGCTGTAACATCAAAGAATAAAAATCGAATTTAATTTAAAGATGCAGGGAAAAGCTGAGTAAATCTGCATTTTAATTAAGTCAGAAAGGAGAAATACCTACTGTGTTCCAGGCATTGTACTGTGCTAGAGATACAGACATAAGCTTTGCCCTCGAGAAACTCATGATCCGCAATTAAACAAAAAACTTAAGAGCTAGTCAAGTTAGTTAGATCTGTAAACAAGCACATCATTTAATAATAATCTTGCATATAATGTCATAGAAGAAAGTATACTGCTTTATTTATTTATTTAGAGACAGAGTCTTGCTCTGTTGCCCAGGCTGGAGTGCAGTGGCATGATCTCAGCTCACCACAAACTCCGCCTCCCAAGTTCAAACAATTCTCGTGCCTCAGCCTCAGGACTACAGGCATGCACCACCATGCCCAGCTATTTTTGTAATTTTAGTGGAGACAGGGGTTTCACTATGTTGGCCAGGCTGGTCTCGAACTCCTGACCTTATGATCTGCCGCCTTGGCCTCCAAAGTGCTGGGATTACAGGCGTGAGCCACCATGTCCAGGCATAATATTTTCAAATGGAACTGTCTATGCCAATTAATAGGAAAAGTTAAAACATTCCCTAAACATTTTAATGTACATTTCCCAAACTCTTAATTTAAACGTTTGTGGTCAAAAGATTTAAAAAAGAAATAAGAAAAAAAAAATGTGTGGTCAGTTCATTTTCTGAGGCTAGTCAGGACCCCAGAGGAAGGTCCTAAATGCCTAGAACACCCTTCCACTTTTCCTGGGGACCACCCCAGCCCTGGCCAATGGCGTAGGAAAGCAGCCCTTCACCAGCTCTGCATCTGAGGCCTCCCTCACTCAAGCATTTTGCTTTTGCTCTTTTTGCACCAGATCTTAGACAGCTGGAACTCAGGATTCTTCTTGTCCCTTCTGCTTCTCTAGAGGTCCACCTATGGACTGTCCTGCAGCTGGGCCATCGGCTACAGTCTGTTCCTGATGTCTAGGAGCTATCCTTCAACTTATACACCAGCTCTGACTCCAGCCATGGCAGCAGCTGCTTCTCGTGGGAAGTAGGCTCAGTCCACCATGAAGCTGAGCTCTAAGCCACCTTCGCTGGCCATCAGCAGCCTTTCCTCCAGGTGTCTAACCCTGCGATTCAGGTATCTGGCTGCTGCTGAAGCTCCTGGAACTGCCTCTGGATTGTCTCCCAGCACATCTGGTCCAATCGTAGCCAGATAGGGGATGTCAACTCCCCGGTGTATAATTGTAAACGTTTGCCCTGCTGTGTTAAAGCAGCTTTTTTAGGCCTGTATTTGGTAGCCTAAGTAAACACATAGAAATTTGCTATAAAACCATATTCTGCATTCATAACATTACCCCAAAATTTGGTGATGAAAGCATTTAGAACTCTTCACATTTATATCCAAGAAAAAACAATACTTTATCATAAAAGCTTTGACAAAGGTTTATTTTTTTAAAAAAAAAAAAACCTTATAAATTTTATGAGCTCACATTAGACAGCACTCAGAAAAAAGTGTTAAAGTTATTCTAGGAAACCATCAATTGATATAACATTTCTTCATTGTGGGAATATCCTGGTTTTTTTTTTTTTTTTTTTTTTTTTTTTTTACATTACCTTAAAAGTTTACTCTCTAAAGCCCTAGAATCTATTCTGAGATAAGGAAATTAGGGAGAATACATATATATATATACACACACATATATAAAATATATATATATATACACACACATAGTATAGTATAAACTAGTATAAACTATAATAGAGCGTCTATATAGTATACTGTACTACATGTTTATACTATATATATAATATTAATACTAAGATGCTATGTAGGTAGATCTTATTCTTTTCTTTAATTTCAATAGGTTTTTGGTGAACAGGTGGTGTTTGGTTATAAGAGTAAGTTCTTTAGTGATAATTTTTGAGATTTTGGTGCACCCATCACCCAAGCAACGTACACTGTAGTCAATGTGTGATGTTTTATCCTTCCTTCCCCTTCTACTCTCTCCCCTGAGTCTCTAAAGTCCACTGGATCATTCTTTTTTTTTTTTTTTTTTTTTTGGTTTCTTCCTTTTTTCCCTTTTTTTTTTTTGTGCAGTGGCACAATCTCAGCTCACTACAACCTCCACCTCTTGTGTTCAAGCAATTCTCCTGCCTCAACCTCTTGAGTAGTTAGGATGACAGGCATGCACCACCACACTCAGGTAATTTTTGTGTTTTTAGTAGAGACGGGGTTTCACCATGTTGGCCAGGCTGGTCTTGAACCCCTAACCTTGTGATCTGCCTACGCTGGCCTCCCAAAGTGCTGGGATTACAGTCATGAATTGAGACAGAGTCTTCTGTCACTGAGGCTGGAGTGCAGTGGCGCCATCTCGGCTCACTGCAACCTCTGCCTCCTGGGTTCAAGCAATTCTCCTGCCTCAGCCTCCCAAGTAGCTGGGATTACAGATGCGCTCCACCATACCTGGCTAATTTGTGTATTTTTAGTAGGGATGGGGTTTTGCTATGTTGACCAGGCTGGTCTTGAACTCCTGACCTCAAGCCATCCACCCGCCTTGGCCTCCCAAAGTGTTATGATTACAGGTGTGAGCCACTGTGCCTAGCCAGCACTGCAGATCTGATGCGGTTTTACACACCGTTACCTTGGAGGAAGATGCTTCTCTTAAGTGGCTGTTTTGCCCCCAGCGTCAGGTTCCTGTGCTCTCTTCTATTAGAGCATTTATCATAGCAGATCCCGTCTATCTGCTTCCTCCACTAGAAATGTCAGCATCTTGAAAGTATCTTACCTTTATCTGTAGACACTGGGAATAACTAACACAGAAGAGACAGTGTGTGGTTTTGGATAAATCTTTGTTTTGATGAAGCCAATCTCTACAGCAGCAGTCCAGCATATATTACTTCCTATTTTATGTATATAGACACACACACACACATTTATCTACATAGTATTTTGATACATAGCAAAAAAAAGCTCATAGAGCAAATGTTTCATTCATCCTACATGACATGCTTTCATTATGCCTCTTTGCTACTTTATTTTGCTGTACATGTCACATTTAAACTTCCTATGATCTTCTCCCTCCAAAATTGTCTGCAGGATCAGAAACAATTTGAATTCCAAAAATACGGCAAAACAAACGCATAGTTCATAAATGCCAATTATAAAGTGAAAATCTGTTTATTTCAATGAACTAAAGTTCATTTTCATAACTGCTAAAGAATTTCAGCTTCCTCTCATCTGCATTTCTCTTTATTATTCCTAGCACAGAGAACACACCGTCTTTACTCACAGTTACACTGGTCACATACGTAGATTTTTCCTTCTAAAGCTTCAGTTTCTGTAAATTTGGCCAACATTTCAGTAACCAGACATGGCTGGGAAGCAGTATCTTTTCCACTGCATTGATATCGTTCTGGAAACTCCAATGACAAGTCCCAGAAAGGTTCTATGGTATTTGATTTGTTGTCACATGCAAGACATGTAACCTGCAAATAAGAATATTCGTTCCTAAGATTATAATCTTTCAGTCAAAACATTAACTCTTTTCACTAGAGGTCACTGCCAGTAAATAAGCTTTTCTCATGAAAATGCACCATTAGAATACTGAATAATCTGCTTTACATTCTTGTCAGGAAATCTTTCATTATAATTTTTCCTTCCAAAAGACTGTTAGTCCCATCATGAATTAGGTGCTTTAACTACTGGGCATTCAAAAAGCTCTAAGGGTATTACATTTAGGTAAAAATCCAAATTGTAGACATACTGAATAGAAACGTATTATATATATGTATATATAGATATATACATATGATGTTTATTCACATGCATTAAATTTAATGTATTTATGTCATTAGTCTTGAGGTTCCTCACTGTTTCTCCTTCATCTTTTTTTTTTTTTTTTCTGAGGTGGAGTCTTGTTCTGTCCCCTGTACTAGGGTGCAATGGCACAATCTCGGGTCACTGCAACCTCTGTCTCCTAGGTTCAAGTGATTCTCCTGCCTCAGCCTCCTGAGTAGCTGAACTGCAGGTACCAGCTACCATACCCAGCTAATTTTTCTATTTTTAAGATGGCGTTTTGCCCTGTTGGCCAGGATGGTCTCGAATTCCTGACTTTAGGTGATCCGCCCACCTCAGCCTCCCAAAGTGCTAGGATTACAGGTATGAGCCACTATACCCAGCCTCTCCTTCATCTTTTGCTGTTTTTTTTTTTTTTTTTTTTTTTCCTAACTCCAAATGCTATAACCTCTTAGCCCAATCCAATCTTAACCATATTAGAAGTAAAATACTATCTTTTCTTTTCTTTTTATTTATTTTTTGAGATGGAGCTTTACTCTGTCGCCCAGGCTGGAGTGCAGTGGCGTGATCTTGGCTCACTTCGACCTCTGGCCCCTTAGGTTCAAGCAATTCTCCTGCCTCAGCCTCCCCAGTAGACAGGATTATAGATGCGTGCCACCATACCTGGCTAATTTTTTTGTAATTTTAGTAGAGACAGGGTTTCACCATGTTGGCCAGGCTGGTCTCGAACTCCTGACTTCAGGTGATCCATCCGCCTTGGCTTCCCAAAGTGCTGGGATTACAGGTGTGAGCCACTACACCCGGCAATACTGTCTTTTCATTACACAGTTAGGCCCTGACAACTGATTATTTCAAAAGACATGATATGTGACATAAATAATGATGTTATACTCTTAAACATCACATTAAAATCCCCTTCCTAACACAGAAAACGAAAAACATGGAGCTGTTTTAACAACTTACATAGGCAACATAGCAACTGGAAAGGACCTGAATAGTAACTTCAGTGAAACATTCAGCAGGATTTAATGCCAACAAACACTGCACATAATTGAAGACAGACTCCATGAACTAGCAAGTCACACATGATAGGAAATATTATAAAGAACCTCTTTCATACAAGCTATAGTCCTGGCATAGGCAATGAAATAAAGAAGCCAGTTCTAATACAGATTTTAGATTTAACAAATTGACACAAAGAACACTCCTGGCGTTTATAGTCTAGGGACTCAGTAGTGCCAGGGCCTGACATTGTGAGAATTTTCTTGAATTAAAAAAAAAAGACAAAAGAAAAAATACATAAAAAGCCATTCCAGGCTGGGTGTAGTGGCTCATGCCTGTAATCTCAGCACTTTGAGAGGCCAAAGCGGAGGACTGTTTGAGCCCAGGAGCTCAAGACCAGCCTAGGCAACATAGTGAGACCTCGTCTCCATAAAAAAATAAAAGGAAAACACATTCCAGCAACCAACTGTCTTAAATCTCCTGAGAACCAGTTCCCTAAGAGTGTATTAAAGAAAGAAAAGCAATTGGTATAACAATTTGTTTTAATTTCAAAATTCATTTATAAAGGAAAAAACAAGCACAGAGCCACTCTCATATTACCGGAAATATATTTTAAAAAGAAAAAAGAAAAACACTTTCCGGAAAGAACTTTGTCACCAAGTAACAGAAGTCTTACTCTGACAAAGTCAGTGTCCAGGACTCTGTCATAAGGAAACTGGAAAAATTGATGACATCATAAAAATGGAAAAAATTAAAAACAGTCAACAATAGGGGAATGGTTAACTAAATTATGGTATAAACATGATGTTAAACAACAGAAATATACAAAAAAAACGATGAACATTGAAATGTTTTGAAAAGAACGATGAAATATTTTTAATGACTGGAAAATCATCACAACATTAAATGGGAAAAGCAGGTAAGTGCAAAATGACCAATTATGGGAAAATATGTATATATGTGCAGGAGAAAAAGAGACTAGAGGAAAATATACCAAAATATTTAGTTTACCCATGGATTGTGGGGTTATAGGACTAGAGAATGGTTTTTCACTTTTTCTACATAGATTTCTTATATAGGTTTCATGCAACTATATATTGCACTCTGTAATAGCGTATTTAAAAACTTTTGCATAAAAAGGAAATGACGGAGAAAGATGGAGAAGTAAAATTGCATGTAACACAAGTACAACTCTTATTTGCTAACTGACACTGAATAAAGTCTTTGCATTTTTGAAACACTGAAAAATAAACTTCATAGATATTCCTTAAGGAGAAATACATCTGAAATACTTAAACAACATTCTAGGAAAGTATGCTATAAAAACAAAAGATGACCTTATTACAGTGGAAGTTGAACTGAAGCCGAGTGTGGTGGCATGGTGGCTCATGAGGTCAGGAGTTCAAGACCAGCCTGAACAAGATGGTGAAACCCCATCTCTACTAAAAATATAAAAATTAGCTGGGTGAGGTGGCGGCTGTCTGTAATTTCAGCTACTTGAGAGGCTGAGGCAGGAGGATTGCTTGGGCTGGAATGCGGAGGTAGCAGTGAACCAAGATCGCACCACTGCACCTCCAGCTTGAGAGACAGAGCAAGATTCTGTCTCAAAAAAAAAAAAAAGTTGAACTGAAAAACAGATGTGCAGGGGGAAGGAAATGACCTATAAAAAATTTTGTTTAAATCTATGTGTTATGGGAAAGTTGAGGACCTTATGTCTATTAATAATTCATCAATAAGTCCACTGAGTATACAGAACATTTACATAGACGATTGTGGTTTTGTAATCTACCTTTTCATGACAAAGGAAACTTTTGAGCAGTAATTAAAATAAAGGAAAATTATTTAAGATTATTATAGATTAAATTACAATTGTTTACTTTAAAATTTCCCTACCTACTTGTTAAAGCTCTCAGACCATGACGCTTTGGTTTTATATGAAGTCCTCCAGGGCTACTGCTTGGTACCTGAAATTGGTCAAATGTGCACCATTTTCTTTCTTTTTTCTTTTTTTTTTTTTGAGATGGAGTCTTGCTTTGTCATCCAGGTTGGAGTGTGGTGGTGTGACCTCGGCTCACTGCAAACCTCCACCTCCTGGGTTCAAGCAATTCTCCTGACAGCCTCCCAAGCAGCTGAGATTATAGGCGTCTGCCACCACACTCAGCTAATTTTTATATTTTCAGTAGAGATGGGGTTTCACCATGTTGGTCAGGCTGGTCTTGAGCTCCTGACTGCAGGTGATCCACCCACCTCGGCCTCCCAAAGTGCTGGGATTATAGGCATGAGCCACCGTGCCTAGCCATGTGCACTATTTTCATTCCCAGTATAGCAGTATCTTCAAATCTGTTCCTTCTGGGATTTAAACCCTCCTCTTCTCAATCCCTCAGACAATGAATGTAATATTGGTAACCTAGAGAGCTCCGTTTCCTGATTTCTCCCTCCCTCCAAAAGCTTTCAATACCATGGATGTAAAACTACTTCCAGTGATTCATAAAAGAAGGAATTGTAAATGTGTGAGCTGATTTATTTACACATATTTATAAAAACAATCTATTTTGACCTGAAAATGGTACCAGCTCAACACACTAGATGTACATAGAATATGCCCTTTTATAGGCTTCACTCTATAAACTCTCCATGATAAAAATAAAATTTAAAAAAATCCATACCTGACTAAGAAGTTGTCCATGAAAAATGTTGTTTACAACATTCAGAACTTGTTTGATAAGTTTCCTTTGAGAAGTGGGGATAAGAGCTGGTAAACTGGTACCAGTTGTCTCTAATTCATGTTGTATTTTATCTAAAAGTTCACAAAGAAATTCCTGAGCATCTTGTTGGGCATAACCCCGAAAGGCAGGAATGAGTCTCCACACCGAGTGTAGCATAGCAAATGGTGAGACCAAGGCCCACTTTCCAGACCACATGACTTGGAACAAAGTATGCAATTCATGACAAAGAGAAATGTACTGTGAAGTCGGCTCCCTTGGCTGAATAAGTTCCATCTTTCTACCTTTTGGTGCTCCACCACTGAGTCCTGATGACAAACTTGAATGTCTGGAGCGAACAAAACCTGTATCTTTTTCTTGACATTCATTCATTTGATATACTACTGTATCAGTGACTGGTGGATGCTTATAAGATCTTGTCTTCTCACTAGCAGTCACAGCCAGCCATTGGTTCAGATCAAGCTTTAAAAAACATTGCCGAAAAATAAGTAAATGACTCAACACCTGAAGAACAGAATTCATATAGCAAGTGTTTCCCAAATTTCTCAATCCTGTTACACCAGGAGTTACTACTGGCCTTCGTTTAACTGAGGAGTCACTGACTTTTTTAGATCTTTCATCTTCTGAGGTAGAGACTACTTTATCTTTTGCTGGTGATGCTGGGGTCTGTGCTGGCTCCTCAAGAGGAACTATTTCTATTATGGTTGACTGAGCAAGCCCTTGTAAACGTAAACTCTTTCTTGGAGGCATACTTTCCAATTCTGCTTTAACTTGATACTCTAATTCTTGCTGTCTTTTCTTTACTTCTCTTTTTACTACTGTTTTTTCCTGAAATTGTTCTTCTTGCCTTTTTCTTCCAATGGGTGATTGTTCACACCACGTTCGAAAGATTTTACCCATTAGGATCCTTCTCCTGTGCCAAAGAGCAGCATACATTTGATCTTCATTTTGAAGCAGAGATTGGGCATCATCATGTAAGAAGTAAGAATCATCACCTGTACCCAAGGACCGTGAAACGCTTCCACTGTGAGTTGTGCAGTGAGAATTTTGACTTTTGATTGCACTTAATGTACTTCGCAGTAACTTCAGGTCTCCAGTTGCATTATCATTAAGAACATAATCATCACAAAGGTAACAAAAAACATACATCTCATTCACCTCCAGTGCAACAGGATGACTGCTTTCTTGAAAGTGCATGAGTGCATGCTCCTCAATATATCTTCCGCAGGCAACATGGGAGCAGCTAAGGCAAGCCCAAATGGACTCGGTCGTGTTGCAGTCCACGCAGTGCCATTTCTGAGGGTTGAGGATGGAGTGGTCTTGAGCAAGCTGCAACTGCCCAACATGTTTGCACTTATCCATTGTTAGCATTTATTTAGCCTAGCTGAGAAACGCATAATCCAAACAAGTCTGTGTTCACCACATTTGAAGCATCTGAAAACTAAACAGAACAATGTCAAGTGTTAATAAAAACAAGATGCAAATATTTTTCATGAGGTGTTTTCCCAAGTATAATAAAGATTTGTATCCTCTATTCCCGATTTCTAGGCTGCTTGTCATAACACCATTTGCAGTTCTTACTTTTCCCTTGCTCTAGATGTCCCTAATCTCATATCCACCTCACTCTGAAAGCACAGATATTTCACTTTCTCTCTTTTAATTTTTAATTTAATTCAGTTTTATTATTTTATTTGCGATGGAGTCTCGTTCTATTGCCCAGACTGGAGTGCAATGCACAATCTCGGCTCATTGCAACCTCCACCTCCCAGGTTCAAGCGATTCTCCTGCCTCAGCCTCCTGAGTAGCTGAGATTATAGGCGCCCACCACCACGCCCAACTACTTTTTCTGTATTTTTAGTAGAGATGGGGTTTCGCCATGTTGGTCAGGCTGGTCTCGAACTCGTGACCTTGTGATCCGAGTGCTGGGATTACAGGCGTGAACCACTACCCCAGGCAGATATTTCACTTTCTCTGAGTCTCCTTTAACAACTTTTGTTTTTAATTTTCTGCCACCATCTAGTGGTGAAAAATGGGTAGTAACTTTCCACTAGAATAGCTTAAGTTCTATCCTTTTTGCCCAGTAGTCTGAGGGCAATTTCCAAAACTACATTTTTTTTTTGAGACAAAGTGTTGCTCTGTTGCCCAGGCTGGAGTGCAGTGGCACCATCTCAGCTTACTGCAACCTCTGCCTCCCAGGCTCACAGGATTGTTGTGCTTCAGCTTCCCAAGTAGCTGGGATTACAGGTGTGTGCCACCATACTTGGCTAATTTGCTTTTTGTATTTTTAGTAGAGACAGGGTTTTGCCATGTTGCCCAGGCTGGTCTTGAACTCCTGGGCTCGGGTCATCCACCTGCCTCAGCCTCCCAAAGTGCTGGGATTACAGGCATAAGCCACTGCGCCTAACCATTTTTCTTAAAGACTGGGGTTGTCAAGACCCAAATATATCTCACTAATATTTATAAACATTCTGAACCCCATGCTGAGTTAATAAAGCATAATCAAAGATGAAACAACAAGTCTTAAGGCAGAAAAATGTAGATTTGAATTCTACCTTTGCCACACACTGTTAAATGTATGGTTTTGAGCAAAGGTTTTAACTTCTCTAAACCATCTGTAAAAGAGAGAAAATCATACCAATTTCAATTGAACTGCCGAAGAATTGAGAGACAATATTTATCTGACACATGGTAAATGCTCAATAAATGGTAGTTTTAACTGTAGCTATAGTGAACAAATCTTAATACCCTATTCAAATAAATCAGATATTCTATTTAATTACCATTAAACTTGTTTTTTTTCCATTTAGTCAATCAATAATTACCTTTAATTCATGGCTCTATACCATACTCTGAGACTGAACAGACATGATAGTTGGCTTTAGGGAAAGAGAAAGATAGAAGTGGAGAATGTGCTTTTGTATTTGAATATTCTCAGGAACATACAAAAGGAAATAAAGAGAAAAAAAGGAAGAATATGAAGTGGATAGCAGTAAGCTTTTATTACATTCTGGCAGGCCTAAACCTATCTGAAATTATAAGCTTATTTTTTAAAAAGCCTATGTGATTTTTTGACCCAGAAATTGTTCCTTTATCAAAGTCAGGAACATTTCTGCTGTAAGTTATTTACATGTAATGAACAGAAATCTTATTTAAAAAGTAGTGTTTACAAAACACTTTTTTTTCATTGATTTAATACAAATTGAAGACAAATTTCAGAGTTTGAGTGGAGACCTAGTTACAAAACACTAAAAACATCCTATGTATCATGACCAAGTCATTAAATTTTTAGGGCAGTTGAAACTGTAAATTTCAATGGTACCTGCAAGTGCCACCTCTAGGGCCTTAGGAAAACTGCAAAAGCAGTTGATTTTTGGTTCCTTCCTACCTCTTTTTGTAAAATCTAGTCATCGTTCCTTAGTTTTTAGGTATCCCAAGTCTAACATCTCCCTCCCTCCCTCCCCTCCCCTCCCCTCCCCTTTCTTTCTGACAGGGTCTTGCTCTGTCACCTAGGCTGGACTGCAGTGGTGCAATCTCAGGTCACTGCAACCTCTACCGCCCAGGTTCAAGCGTTCTCCCATCTCAGAATCCTGGGTATCTGAGACCACAGGCTTGTGCCACCACACCCGGCTAATTTTTATATTTTTAGTAGAGACGGAGTTTCGCCATGTTGCTCAGGCTGGTCTCGAACTCCTGGCCTCAAACAATCCACTCGCCTAAGCCTCCCAAAGTTCTAGGATTACAGGCATGAGCCACCATGCCCGGCCCCCATCTTCACACGTTTCAAGTGCACATTTTAAATTTACTTCTCTCTCTCTCAAAATTTCCAGAGATTTAAAATCTGGTTGAATATGGTATTTTATTACAACACTTAGGATTTGATAATAGCTGCTAATGGCAAAATTGAGACATCAGTGATTAATATATTCCATTATCCCATATCTTTCTATACTGAGGCAAGAAACCTTGGAGTCATCCTTGACTCTCTGTAAATCAACCCTTCAAGAAAAATGGTTGGCTGCATCTTCAGAATAGACCAAGAATCTGACTACTTAGTACCTCCACTGCCACCAATCTGATCCAGCTACAATCAAGTCTTAGCTGGATTACTGCAGTAAGGCCCCAGATGGTCTCTCCACTTCTGTCCTGACTGCCACCAAGTCTACTCTCAACACACAGTAGCACCATCTGCATCTAGACCTAGACAGCCAGTTACTTTAGGGACCCCTTGCTGTGGCCCTCCTCCATTAACACATAGTCAGCAAGGCCAAGGGCATGTGGCCACCTGAAGTCTGCATACACCAGCAACTCCCCTTCTAGAACTACTTGCTGGTACCGGGGACTCAGAGAATTACTTTCCCCAATCATCCCCAAGCTTGCTTCTAGGGCCTATGAGCAACATAAAGCTACTGAAGAAATCTGTAGAGGAGAATGATACGATCAGATCTATGGGTTACAGAGGGATCTGAATTACAAAGAGCTCTGAAGAAGGGACAAGTGATTAAGAGAGACTAGGTGTCCAGAAATTATAAGGCAATTAAAGCTGTAGCAGTTTTGAAGAAGGGGGCAGAGTAGAATTAGTACTTAACAAACACTGGTTGAGAAAACTGATTCAATTTGGAGGTTAGGGGAAAAATCTAGGGCTCTGTATTACCTTTTATTCAGTTACACATGTTATTGGCAGTTCAAAATTCTTAGGCTGGGTGCAGTGGCTCACACCTGTAATCCCAGCACTTTGGGAGGCCGAGGTGGGCAGATCATGAGGTCAAGAGATTGAGACCATCCTGGCCAACATGGTGAAACCCCATCTCTACTAAAAATGCAAAACTTAGCTGGGCATGGTGGCACGTGCCTGTAGTCCCAGCTACTTGGGAAGCTGAGGCAGGAGAATCTCTTGAACCTGGGAGGCGGAGGCTGCAGTGAGCCAAGATCACACCACTGCACTCCGGCCGGGCAACAGAGCAAGACTCTGTCTCAAAACAAACAAACAAACAAACAAACAAACAAGAATATCCTTGCAGAGAATGCCAGCATTTACTCTCAAAAAAGATCATTTCATTCCAAAATTTTAAACAGGTAAAATGAGTTAACACCTTACACAACATTCAGAAAAGGCTCCATAGAAAAAACCCTGGTGAGGATATATACATTTATTCTGAGGTTATCTCTGGGTAATGGGACTGCAAATTACTGTGCTTTCTTTATTCATCCATACTTTCAAAATTGTAAAAATAACAAAATAAGTTTTACATAAAAACAGCTCAGATAGTGTTATGTCTGTGCTAAATTATACACTAGCCTCTTTACTCCTTTCTCTACTCTGCAAATACATTCCTTTGAATATAAAAAAAGTGCCCATTTCATTGAAGCTGTTGCTAAAAAAAATCTATTTAGATGATAGCAAAGTACTTGGCCTTCAACAGGAAGTGGCATCTATAATTGAACACATGATTCTACTTGACACAAAACTGTGAAAAGGGTGAAATCTTGATTAGATGTCATCCATCTGAGAGACATTTTGGTAGAAGAGAGGTATTACAGTAGAATGGTTAGAGAGTACCCCTGGAATCTAAATCCCCGAGTTTAACACTTGACAGGATTTACTATGTGACCACAATTATGTGCTACATACCTCAGTTTTCTTATCTGTAAAGTAACAGTGGTAATAATACCAAAAGGGCTGTTGGAATTAATTAGAACAATTTCTGCACTTAAGAATACGGCCCTCAGTACATCTTAGCTGTCAATTGTAACAAAATAATAAATTATTATTATAAATGCTAGTTTCCTTCTAGTTGATCACTGTTAGCCAGGGGTTCTGTCTTCTCAGCCACATGTGTACTAAGTCCAACTAAGGTGCTAACAGATAATCAAGATGTTAGCTAAGGACTAAGGTCTGACCTCTCCCAGGGGTATTTGCATTTTAAAAGGGGGTCTCTTAAAGATAAAATCTTTTTAAAAATAGAACTATGTGAAACCAGAATAGTGGAATGGCAGATCACAAGATTAATATTTTAGGGCAGGGGGCCCATTTACCCTATTTATGAAAGAAACCAGTAGCGGGTGGACAACAGAGGCAGGGGCAGGGTGGAAAGCAGGAGCTGAGAGCCAGGCCACTGTCACCAGAGATCTCCAGTTTGTGCTCCAGCCTGGAGCTGAAGCTCAGACAGTTACTAGGGTATCCCCAAAGGGGCCTCATCACACAAAGATCTAAGAGCTTGGAGAAAAGAAAGGAGGATGGGAGTATTTTCTTGACACTTCCTATTTTCCTCCACTGGGTTCAGAGCACCTCTTTTCATTTGCTAATCCACTGCTGTGAAGCTATGCATTAACTCTGGCACCAGCAGACTGGATATATGAATTTTGGCAGTGCATTCATTTTAAAGAGGTATTACCTAACAAAACATTTTTATATCCCTGATGCGGATTCTGATAAAATATTAC